GGGAACCTGGGAGGCGGAGGTTGGGGTGCCTGAGATCGTGCCATTGCACTCAAGCCTGGGCAACAAGAACAAAACTCCTGTCTCCAAAAAAAAAAAAAAAATGGGTTAGGATTCTGGGACTATGAGATAGAGTTTTGCTCTGTCGCTTAGGCTGGAGTACAGTGGCACTGTCTCGGCTCACTGCAACCTCTACCTCCTGGGTTCAAGCAGTTCTTCTGCCTAAGCTATCCAAGTAGGTGGGATTACAGGTGCTCACCACCAGACTCAGCTAATTTTTTTGTATTTTTAGTAGAGACAGAGTTTCACCATGTTGGCCATACTGTTTTTGAACTCCTCACTTCAAGTGATCCGTCCACCTTGGCCTCCTAAAGTACTAGGATTATAGGCGACGGCCACTGCACCCGGCCTCTGGGACTCTTTTCCTTGCTTCTTAGCAGACTATTTCCTGTTCTGGGGTTTTTGTTTTGTTCTGTTTTTTTGGCCTTCTGACTGTGTTACAGGTGGTTTAGGTCAGTGGTTCTTCTCTCCAAGTGTGGTCCCAGATCAGCAGCATTAGCATCACCTGGGTACTTAGTAGCAATGCAAGTTCTTGGGCCCCACTCCAGACCTACCTAATGAGCAACTCTAAGGGTAGAACCTAAACAATTATGTTTTAACATCTGGGAGATTCTGATGGTAAAGTTTGATGTCACCAAATGATAATGACACCTTTTTTTGAGACAGCCTTTCTCTGTTGCCCATTTTGGAGTGCAGTGGCACGATCTTGGCTCACTGCAACTTCCACCTCCTGACTTAAAGCAGTTCTCCTGTCTCAGCATTCTGAGTAGCTGGGACTATAGACACATGCCACCATTCCTGACTAATTTTTGTATTTTTAGTATAGACAGAGTTTCACCATGTTGGTCAGACTGGTCTTGAACTCCTGACCTCAGATGATCCACCTGCCTCGGCCTTCCAAAGTGCTGGAATTACTGGCATGAGGCATCGCACCCAGTCTGATAATGACACTGTCTTTGGTAGAGAGGGCTAGAGGCAGTGATTATGTGCCGGAGAAAACTAGCAGCCTAGATTTAAGAGCATGATATAAACCAGAGCTTTTCATTGGGAATAGATGTAGTTTATAGAAGGCATTAAGACATAAAGCAGATTATTGAAACTTCATTGTACACTGTTTCTTAGCTTAAGTAAACCATATAATTGACTTTTACTTATATATTTCCTCCATTACTTTGAAGTCTGTGTTCAAACTGAAAGATGAGAACCTTAAATTAATCGTTTTATAATATTTTTAGATTTTTGTAAAATCGAATGCTCTTTACTTTCCATAGCAAGTAACTGAAAAGTGTCCCGCACAAGAATTTGGTGTATTTTTCATTTTGAATATACTTCTCAGTGATTTCAATTTTGAATCCTAACCCTTTTTAAGAGTACAAGGTCATTTTAAATGGCTTTAATAAGGCCAGGCGCACTGGCTCACGCCTGTAATCCCAACACTTTGGGAGGGCGATGTGGGCAGATTATGAAGTCAGAAGTTTGAGACTAGCCTGACCAACATTGTGAAACACTGTCTCTACTAAAAATACAAAAATTAGCTGGATGTGGAGTCTTGCTCAGTCGCCCACGCTGGAGTGCAGTGGCACAGTCTTGGCCCACTGCAACTTTCACCTCCTGGGTTCAAGCGATTCTCCTGCCTCAGCCTCCCAAGTAGGTGGGACTACAGGTGCTTGCCACCACACCTGGCTAATTTTTATGTTAAGTGGAGAAGGGGTTTCACCTTGTTGGCCAAGCTGATCTCAAACTCCTGACCTCAAGTGATCCACCCACCTACCTTAGCCTCCCAAAGTGCGGGTGTGAGCCGCTGTGCATGGCCTACTTTCCTCTTTTTCTTTTTACCTTTTTTCCTTCCCTTCTTTTCTTCCTTTCATTGTTTTCTTCTTTTATGTCCCACACCATCGCCCTTCCTTTTCAATTAAATAATTCAAAGAGCAGTATACTACCATATCTGGAGATTTTTGAGCTGGAATTTAACATTTATTTTGAAAGAGAATTTATACCAATTACTATGTTTTTGACTCAGATTGTTTTACAGAAGGAATTAGGTTTTTTATGTTGGAATGTGTTTTGAGACTTTTTGTTTCTATCTTCCCACTTCTGTAGAGAAAAAAAGGTAAAAGATTGACATTATCGTAATTTTTATTCTCAAAAGTCTTAGTTTAGGTCCTAATTTTCTTTCAATTATACTCATAATTTATTTAACCAGTCCCCTTTAGATGGTCATTTGGGTTGTGTATATATTCTTGTCTGTGTTTTATCAGTCATTTATTATATGATTTCACATATGTACAAATATATATTTGAAGGATAATATTCTAAAATTGTTTAAAGGGTAGGTGCATTTACAAACTTGACGGATGTTGCCGGTTGTTGTCTGTAAATGAAACTGGTTTATACCACCACAGCTAACATATAAATGTCTGTTTTCTAACATATTATTAAATTACTGACGTTTATCGTCTAATGGAAAAGGAGGAATCTGATTGTACTTTATTTTTTATATTTTTAATTTTTTAATGAGATGTCTTGGTATGTTGGCCAGGATGGTGTTAAACTCCCAGCCTCAAGCAGTCCTCTCACCTCAGTCTCCCAAAGTTCTGGGATTACAGGCATTAGCTACCATGCCTGGTCCTGAGACTTTTTTTTTTTTTTTTTTTTTTTAAAACGGGTCTTACTCTGTCACCCATGCTGGAGTGTGGTGGTATGATCATGGCTTACTACAGCCTTGGCCTCCTGGGCTCAGGTGATTCTCCTGCCTCAGCCTCCCAAGTAGCTGGGACCACAGACACCTGCCACCATGCCTGGCTGCTTTTTAAAATTATTTGTAGGGACGTGGTCTCACTTTGTTGCACAGGCTAGCCTCAAACTCCTGATCTCAAGTTATCCTCCCACCTTGGTCTCCCAAGGTGCTGCAATTACAGGGCTGAACTACTGTGCCCAGCCTCTGATAATACTTTTAATTGTAATTTCTCTTATGCTTGAAGTTGAACATATACAGTAAAGACTTTAGAGTACTATAGGCTGAAGTTTCAGAATCATCCAGGACCAATGATGGTAGCAGAAATATGAAACTACCCAAAGAGTATAGAAAGGACAAAATTGATTATTGACACTGTTGTTATTTTCAATATTTGATTGCATTGATTAGCTTATTACTTTTATTAAAGTCACTTAAAAGAGCATGTAAAATTCTGTGCCAAAGCATGTTTGGCCTGACAAGTTGGGCTGTCATTTCCTTTTGACAAGACTTTCATTTTTATCAGCCTTAAATGTGTCATTACTATTCTGGTTAGGTAACATAATTATCCCACTGCAGAATATATAATGTCAAAAGAGTATTGTGCATATTTGATGCCTTTACCTCTGAAAACAATTGAATTGTTTTCAGACCACTTTTATTTCAGTAACATAAATGCAATCCTTCTCTTAATTGAAATGTAAAATGTAAAGCACATTGAAATGAAAACAAAAACCTAACACTACCTATATCTTGACAGTTATAAGAGACTAGGTAAGTTGGATTTTATATTTCTTGTGGTACTGAATAGAAACAAATCTTTGAATGAGAAGTAAGTTTAATGGCTTACTTGCTAAACGTAAGTTGGACAGTTCTCACAATTCCTTAGGAATGTGGCAAGGTCATCCTTGAATATAAAGTTACTGTTTGCTTCATGGAAAGCACTGTAGATACATAAATAACATTGTTACCTGTCTTAATGGGCCAATATAATAGATGGGGGGTGGTGGTACACGTGAGAAAGTGAAATTTCTAGCTAGTTTTGAGGTCCTTATGACTTATAAGAGGTATTATGAGTCACTTTAACAACTAGTGTTTGTGATATAGTTTCAGTTTCTCATGTGAAAGATAGTATTTCAATTGTAAATGTCCTTTTAATATTCTGGAGAGCTAGTCTTTCCTAGCCCCTCTGTTTTTTTTACTGACTTTAAAAGTTGTTTACAGTTTGTTTCATGTTCAAATTTAGGGTTTTAGTAATTCCTTGGGGTTGGGGGCAGTAATATGCAGAAGGCCATTGTCTCTGATTTTCCTTTTCCCAACTTTCACTTTCTTTTTTTCTGTGGATCACATTTCAAGGCTGGTGAGAAAAAGGATGGAGACTGAGAAAAGGGAGCAGTTTACTGTGTATAGGGGATATCCATAATAAAGTCACTTAAGGAATCTGATATAAAGTTTAAATATATGATGAAGCTTGTGCAAGGGGATTCTAAGAACTGGCTTTACTCTCCCCCTTCCCGCTTTATAAAAAAGAAATCCTGTTGATGGCAAAAAGACAAACACTTTGTCAAAGTATTCTGTACATCTTACATTTATTTGCATTAATATTAGTTGTTTTATTTTATTTTACTTTTATTTTTTGAGATGGGGTCTCACTCTGTCACCCAGAATGGAATGCAGTGACATGATCTTGGCTCACTTCAACCTCTGCTTCCCGGTTTCAAGTGATTCTTCTGCCTCAGCTTCCCGAGTAGCTGGGATTACAGGTGCCACCATGCCCCACTCCTTTTTGTATTTTTAGTAGAGATGGGGTTTTACTGTGTTGGCCAGGCTGGTCTCAAACTCTTGACTTCAAGTGATCTGTCTGCTTCAGCCTCCTAAAGTGTTGGGATTACAGGTGTGAACCACCGTGCCCAGCAGTATTAGTTGTTTTAGATTGTAGACTGTAGGTGATATGGACTATGTGTTGTAAAATCCCTAGTCTGAAGTAAAATGCATATAGATGTCTTCCCCCTGCTTTCTAACTTAAATCCCTTTTCCCCCTTGCAGTCAGTGCATTTTTATATTTTTATATACTTTGTGACAAATATGTAAAGGAAATATATTTGCATCTAATTGTTCTGAATTCCACAAGTTCTTTACTGAGTTTAAAAAAAAAAATTTTTTTTTTTTTTGGTCTAAACTGAATTTTGTCTCTCTCCCCTCTACTTAGGCCCAGATCGCCTTCCTGCAGGGAGAAAGGAAGGGCCAAGAAAATTTGAAGAAGGATCTTGTGAGGAGGATCAAAATGTTGGAGTATGCTCTTAAACAGGAAAGGTAATTCAGTAAAATAAAAAATGCTATTCTTTTTTTTGAGACCGAGTTTCGATCTTGTTGCCCAGGCTGGAGTGCAGTGGTGTGATCTCAGCTCACCACAACCTCCGCCTCCCGGGTTCAAGTGATTCTTCGGCCTCAGCCTCCCAAGTAGCTGGGATTACAGGCATGCACCACCATGCACGGCTAATTTTGTATTTTATGTAATTTTGTATTTTCTCTATGTCTGGTCCAGACCTCCACCTTAGGTGGTCTGCCCACCTCGGCTTCCCAAAGTGCTAGGATTACAGGCATAAGCCACTGTGACCAGCCAAAATGGTTTCTCTTAAATGTAGGAATAATTTTTTCATCATTCCTAAAATAAATTTAAATGTTAATACTGCTTGAATTCAGGAGTATCTGTAGTAAACATTTGTATGAATGGCTATAATATGTTAATTGTATTATGAATAATAATGATCAAAAAACAAATTTATATGATTTTTTTTTAAAATTAGCAACATTTGTTTTCCTACTCTGCCCTTTTTGAAAAAACAGATGTGTTCCCTGAACTGTCAATACCCATTCATTTTAAAGTTGAAAGTTTTTGATTTGTAAAGGAAATTTCTGTTGTTTGCTCCTTTTCCAGTCATTTAATATTATTCAATTTGATGTATTTTCTTTAGAAAAAAATTGCTCCAGCAGACTGTGTTGAGATTCTGTATAGACTTTTTTGTGTGTATTTTGTTCCTTTGCCGTCAGTCGTTACTCTCTCCAGAAGCTTATCGTACCTTTCTATTTTGCTAGTGTCTAAGATAGTCAAGTAACTAAATTTGGGTCACAAGTAAAAGAAAATAGGTCATGAGTGAGAGTTTTGGAAGTTACATGAGTTGTTTATTTGCTTTAATGAATGGGCCTTGGATTTTTTTTCATCAACAATCTGAGACTTTATTTTTTTTAGATAACTGAGTACTTATAGTTAATATTGGATTCGATAACTGAGTACTTATAGGTGATATTGGAATTATCTGTTTTGCTACTTCTTTGCTTTGTTGTTTTTTTTTTTTGAGACGGAGTTTCGCTCTTGTTACCCAGGCTGGAGTGCAATGGCGCGATCTCGGCTCACCGCAACCTCCGCCTCCTGGGTTCAAGCAATTCTCCTGCCTCAGCCTCCGGAGTAGCTGGGATTACAGGCACGCGCCACCATGCCCAGCTACTTTTTTGTATTTTTAATAGAGACGGGGTTTCACCATGTTGACCAGGATGGTCTCGATCTCTCGACCTCGTGATCCACCCGCCTCGGCCTCCCAAAGTGCTGGGATTACAGGCTTGAGCCACCGCGCCCGGCCTCCTTTGCTTTGTTTTTAATGGTGCCTGTTTTTTCTCTTTTTGAAGTTGGTGTAAGGGATATTTGCAGTAATACAGCATTTAGATGCAATTAGATAAATCGATGATAGTTATGAATAATGAGAAAGAAATAAAATTTTGTTAGAATTTATGTTCCTCTTCATGTAGAATCTTTCATCGGTGTAAGATTGAAAGTAGGTTGTCCTCTTAGTGAAAAATAGGTGTTTATTTTCATCCTTTGGGAAAGTTGATGGAAAGCTGTTTTAGGGACATTGAAAGTGAAACCATTTTTAAAAGTACATAATTTGGGAGTCTTTAAGGTTTTTTTGTTCTGTTTTGTTTTTTAAAGACAGAGTCCCACTCTATTGTCCAGGCTAGAGTGCAGTGGCATGATCTTGGCTCACTGCAATCTCCACCTCCTGGGTTCAAGCAATTCTCCTGTCTCAGCCTCCTGAATTGCTGGGCCTACAGGTGCATGCCACCATGCCCGGCTACTTTTTTTGTATTTTTGGTAGAGATGGGACTTCACGATATTGGTCAGGATGGTCTTGAATACCTAACCTCAGGTAATCCACCACCTCAGCCTCCCGAAGTGCTAGGAGCTGCTGTGCACTGCTGAGTATTTGAGAGTTTAAGCATTCTAAATTACAGGCTTAACCAAAGAGAGAGGATAGTAACATTAATTATGACAACTGTTTATTGGGTGGCCACTGTGTTGTCAGCCCCTGAGACTTAAAAACTAAGTAATTTGAGTCGAGTAGCAGAGCTGTAGTAGAGCTGTGATTCAGATCCATTTAAATCTGTATGGTTCTGAAGCCTGTACTTTTTACCAGTACATTATACTATCCTATAAGGCAGGAGAATTGAAAATACATAAATACTAAAGTAACCAGGGATGCGGTGTGTGTGTATCCAGACTTGTAAGCCACAAAAGTACAGTGAAGTATAAGTACTACTACAGTGGAAGTACAAAAGATATATTGTGGTCACAAAGAAGGTAGTGGTTATTTTAATTTTTTTTCCCAAACAGAGCCACTTGTTGCCCCACGTAGAGTGCAGTGATGTTGTCTCGGCTCACTCCCCTCCTGGGCTCAAGTGATTCTCCTGCCTCACTCTCCTGAGTAGTTGGGATTATAGGCACCCACCACCATGCCTGGCTCATTTTTGTGTTTTTAATAGATACGAGGTTTCACCACATTGGCCAGCTGGTCTCAAACTCCTGACCTTAAGTGATCTGCCTCCCTCAGCCTCCCCAAGAGCTAGGATTACAGGTGTGAGCCACCATGTGTGGCTGGGAGTGGTTATTTTCATCTGGAAGATGAACGTAGAAAGGAGGGCAGAGTTAGAGGAGGTGAGGCTTAAATAGCATTGAATAAGAACTTGTTTGCCAGACAGGCAAGGTGTAGGAAGTAGAGAGAACATGTTTGACATGAAAGAAAGCAGTTTGGTGTGTTCAGAAATTTGTAATCATTTTGTGTGGAGAGTAGGATGTTGGTTGTGGTCCTCCTCACTTGATGACCGATAATGGTAGAAGGAGGCAAGAGTCAGATCACGGAGAGCTCAACCAAGGAGTTCAGACTTTGATCTTACATATAACAGGAAATATGGTAGGTTTAATTTCGTTTGTTTGTTTCAAACAAACAGGGTCTTGCTTTGTTGCCCAGGCTGGAGTGCAGTGGCACAATTGTGGCTCACTGCAGTGTGAACCTCCTAGGCACAAGCAATCCTCCCACTTGAGCCTCTTGAGTGGCTGGGAATACAGAGATACTCCAGTTCACACAGATAATTTTTTAATTTTTTAGAGAGACAAGGTCTCGCCCTGTTGCCAGGGCTGTCCTGGAACTCCTGGGCTCAAGCAACCCTTCTGCCATAGCCTCTCAAAGTGCTGTGATTATAGACATGAGTCACTATGCCCAGCCAAAAAAAAAAAAAAAAATTGATCTAAAATGATCTCAGACTGTCTAGAGGAGTTGCAAGAATCTTGTATACCGTTTACCTAGATTCACAAATTGAAAACATTTTGTTATATTTGCTTTATTGTGTTTAGTCTCTCTCTATAGGTATCATTTTCCCCTAAATCATTTGCTAGTTAGTTTGCCCCTAACTACCTCTGTGTATATTTCCTAAAAGCAAGGACATTTCCTTATATAATTATAATAGTACATTATCAAATTAAAGAAATTTAACATTGATATTTGGTTATCTGATATAGTCTATATTCAGATGTTCTTTTTTCTTTCTTTCTTTTTTTCTTTTCTTTTTTTTTTTTGAGACGGAGTTTTGCTCTTGGTGCTGCCCAGGCTGGAGTGCAATGGCACGATCTCGGCTCACTGCAACCTCCACCTCCTGGGTTCAAGCGATTCTCCTGCCTCAGGCTCCCGAGTGGTTTGGATTACAGACATGTACCACCATGCCCGGCTAATTTTGTATTTTTAGTAGAGACAGGGTTTCTCCATGTTAGTCAGGCTGGTCTCGAATTCCTGACCCCAGGTGATCCACCTGCCTTGCCTCCCAGAGTGCTGGGATTATAGGTGTGAGCCAGTGTGCAAGGCCTATTCAGATGTTCTGATAATGATTTTCATAGCATTTTTTTTCCTGGTCCAGGATCCAGTCTGGAAATATATACTGCATTTAGTTTTTATGCACTTGGCAGTTTTAAGCAAGATATAGTATATGAAATATATTTTAGAAAGATCACCTCACCTCAATGTGTGGGGTGGCCTGGAAAGATCTGTAAACACAGGCAGAGAGATTGTAACAGTCTAAGATGAGAAATGATAAGAGAGTAGCTGCTGAAATAGAGACACATAAACTATTAAAGATTTTCAGTAGAATCCATAAAATCTGAAGATGATATAAAAATTTGGAGATGGTACAGCCGGTGAGTGAGAAAGGTAATTTGAGAATGACTCCCAGGTTTCTGGCTTGAAGGAAGGACTATATGAATTATGAGAGAGTTTTAGAAGATATTGAATGATGTAAACAGTTAAGAGGCATCTTTGGGAGAAAAAAAAAGTTATCAAATGAATTAAAGTAAGAATTAAAGAGCAGATATGTGAGGAGAACTCATGATTAGAGATACATACTTGGGAATCATCAGTATTATTGTGAATGAAGTGAAAGAAGTAGTTGATAGAACAAGTATTGTGGAAAGAGAGACTAGAAGGAGTGACAGGAAGTAGAGATACTTGAGGAAAAAGCAGAGGAAGAAGAGCCAACAAAGAAATAGAGAAGGAAGGAGAAGAGAGTAGTATTTTGGAAGTTAGTTAAAGGAGGGCGTCAATAATTGAAGATGCTAAGTAGATTCCAAGTAAGTTGTATATTGAAAATAGTCATTTGGAGTTGCCAGTTGGAAGCTTATTGGTATCCTACTAAAGCAGCCTCAGGAAGGCAGCAGGAACATGAGCTAGATCAGAGGATAGAGGGCTGAGAAGGATGAAGTGGGGACAAATAGAGTTGCTTATTTTTTAAAGAAATTTGACTCTGAAGGATGGTAGAGATAAAAAACTGGCTGAATCTAGTGAAGATATTTTTCTTCTTTTCCTTAAATAAATGAGATGCTCCTGGAAAAGAGTTTCTGGTTTTATATGTTTTGAAGTTTATGGAATAATTTGGGATTATTCTTGATGTTATGGCACTATTTGTGTAATGAACTAAGAAATTTTAAAAAAGGATTTCTTTGGCTTGAAATTTTAAAAAGTTTATTGAGGAAAATTTGAAATATACTCAGAGAGAAACTAGTATCTTTTATATACAGCCCCAGGTTTTAACAGTTAATGTTTTTGTCAGTCTTTTTCACCTTGAGCTATTTTAATGCAATTCCAGATATCTTGTCATTTTATCTGTAATTGCCTAAGTAAAGATTATGATTTTACATGATTTTCTTTGCATGATTTTTGCAGATTTTCTAAGTAGTCCCACTTTAGGATCCAAAAGTAAAACTGAATTGTTAATGTTATAGAAGAATTACTTACCTAGCAGTGAGTTTATCAAAGCATTCCTTAATGTATGTTAAAATTTAATATAAATTTTCAAGATTACATAGTATATAATCTGAGGTTGACTTAGGAACATCTATGTTGAAGAACCTCAAATACTGTATAAAATACAATTCTGAAAAAATTTTACCATTTTTAAAATTTCCCTCTATTCACTGCCACTTCTATCCACCCTACTGTAGTAACTTAACTGTCCTCCTTGCTTCTGGTATTTCCATATTCTAATTCATCTTCCATATCCATAGAATTCGTTTTCTAAAACACAAATATGATAATCCTGTTATATCCCTGTTTAAAAATATCTGGCTAATTTCAAGTTCTTAGTAAAGTTCTTCACAACTAGGCCCTTTCTGTCCAGTCTCTGACTCCATTCCTTCCATACCTTTTGGGTGTAATTGTACTGTTTGTTGGTTTTTGACCCACTGTGTGTGTGTGTGTGTGTGTGTGTGTGTGTGTGTGTGTGTGTGTGTGTGTTTGTTTTCCACTTAAGATGTTCCTTCTGACAGAAATGCTCTCTCCACCAGTCCGTTTTCTGATTGGAAAACTCCCACTACTTTTTTGAGATTTAGCTAAAATCTCACATGTTACCTTTTTTGGTAGCTTTCTTTGACACCAATTTTGACCAAATTATATAATCCCTTATCTGTATTCTTGTAATACTTGCTACAGCCTTTATAGCTCTTACACAGTATGCTGTAGTTATTTACATTCTTATCTCTTATGCATACCCTCACCTTCTACCCTTACCTGACTATAAGCTGTAGGTTGTCCCAGCAGCCAGCACAGTGCCTGTTAAATCATAGGAATTCAGTAATAGTTCATTGAAATTAATCAAATTATTAACATTCATAAGATCTGCTTATTTATCTTACAGGCAGAATTAGACAGAAAAAGAATAGCAAACAAGAAAGATTGGTTAACACAGTGAGCTGAGTGTTAGAACAGTGGAAAACGGTATGAGTAAGAAGTTATTTTCGCATATTAGCTTCAAAAGGAGGGTTCTGTGAGAAAAACACATTTCAGCAAATGTAACAATTTGTAGGGAGACCTTGGTTTAAAGGACCATAGCTTGTGGTAAACACATCAGTTCTTTACATATTTTGTCTTTGTCTAATTTTTAAAATAAAATGTTCATAATATGTCAAAATTTTGAAAAATATTTTCTTTTCCCTTTTTGTAAGTTCTGTTGTAGTTTTTCCTGAGACCACTAGAATGCACTGTAACACAGTATTTTGTGTTTGAAAATGTTCTTTTTTAACATATGTATAGAAGATATAAACTCTGTATAGAAGATAAACATATGTATAGAAGATAAAAACACTGTTATTTTAAAAGCTTTAATATAATCTGTCTTCAGCCTAGTTACATTCAGTTGCTATTTTGACTACTAGCAGGTATTATTACTTTGTCTTATGACAAATGAAGTGTGTTTCTGGAAAAGTAAGAGATTGATAGTTACATTTAGAACCTTGTTTACTTTCTAGTAACTGCAAGTTGAATTAATATCTGTAAATCTTACCTTACAGTGATCAGTATTATTACAAATACATTGAACTAGATTCGCAAACATTTAGTGCAGTGACAAAATCTTTGTGGTTAAGAGACACATTGAGAATGGATATTCTAAATAATTTGGACCAAACACATTTACTGAAAATTAACTGTATTTACATATAGTTAATTAACCAAATAACAACAAAATTGTCTCCCTTCTGCCTCAGTTCATTGACTTTCTTTCCCAAGGAAATCTTATTAACTGATGTCTTAGGTATCGTTCCAAAAAGATTCATATGCATAGGCATATGAAATAGATATGTAACTTTTAAAAAAATGTATGCAGACATACATAGTATTTTGTACCTTTTACTTTTTGCTTAAGAGATCAGTTTGTTGGCATATGAGTATTTTTTTCTTATTGTGTACATTTTACTGTAAAACATTTCATACAAATGTGAAGATCTAAGAACTATTATAAAAAATACTGATGTAACCTACCTTAAGAAATAGGACGTCAACTGCCTATAACTTTCATAGGTTTTCTTAGAATTCCTCTTTATAGAAAACTTTGGTTTTTTTTTTCTATTGTGACTGCAAAATGATTATTTTTGCAAAATAATCAAAGATTTCAATATTTTACATATTTGAGCAAATAATTTTTCATTTCCTTTCTACTTTTCTTTTTTCTTTTTCTTTTTCTTTTTTTTTGAGATAGGGTCTCACTCTGTCATCCAGGCTGGAGTGCAGTGGCGTGATCTTTGCTCACTGACTGCAGCCTCCACTGCTCAGGTTTAAGCATTTTCTCCCACCTCAGCCTCCTGAGTAACTGGGATTACAGGTGTGCACCACCACACCTGGCTGATTTTTGAATTTTTTAGTGAAGACAGCATTTCATCCTGTTGGCCAGGCTGTTCTCAAATTCCTGACCTCTGGTGATCCACCTGCCTTAACCTCCCTAAGTGTTGGGATTACAGGTGTGAACCCTCGTGCCTGGCCACCACTATTCTTAAATTATGAGAAAACGTAATGTAACTGCTCAATTAGGTTTTTATAAAGAAAAAAAAACTTTAAATTTGGCTGTGTTACACCTTCCTTCCTTTATTACTTTATTATTTTGGTTTTTCAAATTGTTGTTGTTTATATTAATATCCCAGTCTTAACACATTTATTATTATAATAAATAGTAATACTTATTATAAGTGGTCTCAGTATTTTGGGGACAACAAGTGAAAATATACAAATGCATTAAGCAGGTATGGCCATTTTTAGTCACCCTTTTAAAAATTTCTGCATTAGCTGAGTTATTTTTCTAGTCTTAGATGGTTAAATCCGAGATGGTTAAATCAGACGGTTAAATCCTGTTAACCAGAATGATAACATTCTGTCAACTTTGAAGATAAGACAGTTTTATTCTCATTTACAGTTCTTTTTGAGTAAAAGACAAAGGATATCTTGACTATTTCGAAAAAAATTCATTTCTACTGGAATGTCTTATTCAACATTGATGATTTGGGCTGGAGTCTCCCCCCCTTGGATTATACAGTATAATGCATATTTGGCAAATCATGATTATCTGGTAAGGCACATAATATTGTAGATGATTTTTCTTTTTAAAAAGCTCATTTTTTTGAGAAAAGTCTTTTACAAATTTATTTCACAATCGAAACTTTTTTTTAACTGTTTTTGATAGTAAAATTAGCTTTGACAAATATCAGGAAAATATTAATACTATAGAAACTAGGATGTTATATAGTTCATTTTATTATTACAGAAAGAAGAGTTATGATTCCCAGAGTTATTCCTTTATTTTCTTATAAGGATGCTTGATGGTATAACAACAACAGCAACAACAAAAAAGGCAAGCGCTTTTGTATTACAACTTTGACACCATGGAAAGCTATGAGCCTTTGAAAGTTCTAGGAGTGTTCAGCCCGGACTACTGAACACTTATGACTACTATTGTTGCATATATGAAAGTTAATTTAAATATATTTTAAGATGGTTTGTGTTTTCTCATTTCTTTGTTAGAGCCAAATACCACAAGTTGAAATATGGGACAGAATTGAATCAGGGAGATATGAAGCCCCCAAGCTATGATTCTGGTAAGCTAATTTTAAAGAAGGTTTAAATGATAAAAAGAAGTTAATGTCTAGTATTTTCTAGCAACAAAGTTTATAACTGTAAGTTTCTAATTATGCATGTTAGTTATTTTTTTCTGACCTGCTTGTCTTTTGGCACCAATCATTTAGTGTCATTTAGATAATTTTCCACCACCTTCCTTCCTTTTCCCTCTTGCCCTTTCTTTTAGTTCCCCATTTTCTGCTTCAGTTCTACACTTACTGGAAGGATCAGAGTTCATGGGGTAACATGCATCAACATAACCTTGTCTTGCTGGGTATGGCCAGCATTAATGGAAACTTCCAGATGTGCAGTACAAAGTACATCATTTCCTTGAAATCCTGAGAAAGAGTAGGAAATATGGAGATAAGAGATTTCTTCTTAAAGCACAGAAGAATTCCTCATCCCATAAACTTAATTCTTCAGTTTCAGGGGGAAAACTGTTTTGGTCTTTCTTGCCGACGGGAGTGTCTGTAACTAGAACATGTTTTAACAGCCGAAGTATTTATTATATTTTTGAGTTATTTCTTCCTTTTCCTTCTCCTACTTCTTCACACCAGTAAACAATACAAAATAGTACTTGTAAATAATCAGATATTAAGGAATATAGATATAATTCACTTGTTAATAGATATTAGGGAAGAATGACAAAAATTAATCAAAAGTTATCAGTCATGTTTCAGATAGTTACGTTTTTGGCATACTTTCAGATTAAATTTCCCAATTAGGTATTTGAAGACATTATTGTTCATTTATATCATTTAATGAAATATGTACCTTGTGTTAGAGGCTTTATGTATATATATTCACTTTAATACTTAAAATAGTTATTCGGTAAAGATAATATTTATTTGCATTTTACATATGTGAAATTTAAATTCAGTGAAGTGGAGAAACTTGCCCAACCTCACACAAATACTAATTAATGATAGAATATGGAGCTGAATCTAGGTCTTTCTGACTCCAGAACTCATATTCTTACCATTTTATCATACTGCTTCTATATTTGACAATGTTTGAAAGAACTTTCCAAAATGAGTTCTAAATGTACTGCCAATTTTATAGTTAATTCATTGTAGTAATGTATTAATACATTTTCTCAGTTGAATATTAAATGCTTGAGATCTAGAGCAATGCAGTTGATCACTGGTGTATTTTTTCCTTTGTTTTTAAATTATTCTGTCTTTTACTTGAGTGTCTGTTCTTATAATCTGAGATGTGTGTACATTTCAAAATGATTTTTTAAAAAAATCTAGGCTATTTGTTAACATCTTTTCTAAAATGATATTAACTGACTCAAAGGAGTGATTTGAATCAGCATTGTATTAAAAGGTTTTTATTTCTTAAGTTTTGGATATGAATTTAAGAGAATAGAGGCCTAGTTGCAATATATTTTTAAAATGTTTATAAGTAAACATGACTGGCTGCAATGGCTCATGCCTGTAATCCCACAATCCCACTGTTGGGAGGCCAAGGTGGGGAGGATTGCTTGGGCTAGGAGTTTGAAACCAGCCTGGGCAACACAGCAAGACCCTGTCTCTACAAAAAAAAATTTAAAAATTAGCTGGGCATGGTGGCACATGCCTGTAGTTCTAGCTACTGGGAAGGCTGAGGTGGAAGGATCACTTGAGCTCAGGAGTTTGAGGTTAGGTTACAGTGCCCTACGATTTTGCTACTACATTCCAGTCTGAGTGACAGTGTGAGATCCTGTCTCTTTTTTTGAGACGGAATCTTAACTCTGTCACCAGGCTGGAGTGCAGTGGTGCAATCTCAGCTCACTGCAGCCTCCGCCTCCTGGGTTCAAGTGATTCTCCTGCCTCAGCCTCCCAAGTAGGTGGGACTATAGGCGTGAGCCACCATGCTCAGGTAATTTTGTATTTTTTTTTGAGACAGAGTTTTGCTCTTGTTACTCAGGCTGGAGTGCAATGGCGCGGTCTCGGCTCACTGCAACCTCCACCTCCTGGGTTGAGGCAATTCTCGTGCCTCAGCCTCCCGAGTAGCTGGGATTACAGGCACGCGCCACCATGCCCAGCTAATTTTTTTGTATTTTTAGTAGAGACGGGGTTTCACCATGTTGACCAGGATGGTCTCGATCTCTTGACCTTGTGATCCACCTGCCTTGGCCTCCCAAAGTGCTGGGATTACAGGCGTGAGCCACCAGGCCTGGCCTAATTTTCTATTTTTATTAGAGACAGAGTTTCACCATGTTGGTCAGGATAGTCTCGATCTTCTGATGTCGTGATCCTCCTGCCTCGGCCTCCCAACGTGCTGGGATTACAGAAGTGAGCCACTGCACCTGGCTCAGATCCTGTGTCTTAAAATTTTTTTTTAAAGTTTCTAAGTAAATAGCACAGCTCAGTAGAAAGGCTTTGGGCTTTAAAAGCAGATAGATGCAAATTTGACTCTGCCCCAGCATTTTAAATTGCTGTGATACTACTTAATTTCTCTATGGTTACTCCATTCCTGATCTGTAAACTAGAAAATGTTCTGGGAATGCTTCCTAACTCAAATGTTTATTTTCTTAGTATACAATGCCTAGTTATTCTCAGTATACAATACTTAGTACCTAGTATCATTCCATCTATCTATCTTTCTAACCATCCATTCATCTTACAAATATTACATTATAGTATTTTTCTCATTTTGGAAAGTTTTTCAGACCCAGTACCAAATCCAGTGAATAAGACAACAGTGCTCTGTTGGATTTTTATAGGGAAGATAGACAGTTAAAGAAGTGATTACAGGCTGGGCGTGGTGGCTCACGCCTATAATCCCAGCACTTTGGGAGGCTGAGATGGGTAGATCATGAGGTCAAGAGATTGAGACCCTCCTAGTCAACATGGTGAAACCCCGTCTCTACTAAAAAAGATACAAAAATTAGCTGGGCATGGTGGCGCACGCCTGTAGTCCCAGCTACTTGGGAGGCTGAGGCAAGAGAATTGCTTGAACCCAGGAGACGGAGGCTGTGGTGAGCCGAGATCGTGCCATTGCACTCCAGCCTGGGTAACAAGAGCGAAACTCCATCTCAAAAAAAAAAAAAAAAAAGTGATTACAATAATATATGACATGCATAAAGGAGAAATAATAAGTGTTATTGAGCGCAGTAGCACAAATCTAGTCAAGTGGTCAAGAAGGGCTTCTTGGAGGAAGCGATGTTTAATTTTGACATCTGAAGGACAAGTAGGAATTAGGGCAAGTAGACTGACTAAATATTTGTTGAATGGGAGGTGGGAAAAAGTCAGAGTATTGGCAGCAAAGCTACTGAAGTAAGACTACAGCAAGTTTGAGACATAGGATACCTGGATAGTAGTGGGAGGAGGGAAGGAATGTTTCCAGGTGTAGATAGAGAGTTAGCTGGAGGGTAAAATATGTTACAAGGGCCTTGTGAAACATGTTGAGTAGTTCACGCTTAGGAATATTCTAAGGATTTGAAGAAGGAAAGCATTTGAAGGATTTTTTTTAAAAATTTTAAATTAAATTAAATTTAATTTTTTTGAGACGGAGTCTTGCTCTGTCGCCAGGCTGGAGTGCAGTGGCACAATCTCGGCTCACTGCAACCTCCACCTCCTGGGTTCAAGCGATTCTTCTGCCTCAGACTCCTGAGTAGCTGGGACCACAGGCGCGTGCCACCACGCCTAGCTGATTTTTGTATTTTTTTTTTTAGTAGAGACTGGTTTTTGCCATGTTGGCCAGAATGGTCTCGATCTCTTGACGTTTTGATCTGTGCACCTCCCAAAGTGCTGGTATTACAGGCGTGAGCCAGTGTGCCCAGCCAGGACCTTAATTAGAGCTTATCAACAGATTTACTCTTGGATTACTGGATTACGTGGGTTGTAGTGTGGAAGATGGATTAGAGAGGAGCAACGTTGGAGATGGGGCAGCTGATTAGAGGACTGTTGCAGCAACTTGGGCAAATAAGGAAGGTTTCCTTGACAAAGGAGTATTCAGGAAATATTTAGGAAGTAAAATCTGCAGGAACTAGTTCTTTTTATATATATATAAATTTGATTTTATGCTGATCTTCTCTCTGTTAGTCCAATTTTAGTATATATGCTGCCAAAGCAAGCATAGGAACTACTTTTTGATTGGATGTAGGGATTGAAAAAAGGATGAGTCAAAAGTGACTCCCACATTTGTAGTTTAAGCAACTAGACCAGAAGTAGGTTTGGAAAATGGTGGGTTCACTTTTGGATTTATTTCTTGAATAACCTAGTGAAGATGGCTAGTAGACAGTTGAGTATATGGGTCTGGAGCTCAAGTCAGAAGTATGGATGTGTTTGATACATAAATTTGAGAGGCATCAACATGTGGTACTGGTGGCACTCAAGGCCATTGGAGTTGAAACGATCACCCAGTCGAAACTGTATGTAAGGTAAGATTACATAAAATGGAATCCTGAGGAATGACATTTAAAAGACTGGTAGAAGAATAGAAACATGAAAAGGAACCCGATACAGAGTACATTAATGGTAGGAGGAGAACCAGGAGACCAAGGAAACCAAGAGAAGAGAAGATTTCCAGAAGGAAGGACTGTTCAACACTACTGATGAATTCCCAGAGGGCTGAAGAATGTCTCTAGGACTTTGTGACACACTGGGAACAGTGTGACACTGAGAACTTTAAGCAGTTTTAGGAGAGAGGTGAGGGCAGAAACAAAGTGGGTATAGTCAGCTTTCAGGAAGCTTAGGTTGTGAAGGTGAAAGAGAGAGATTAGAGGAAAGTAGCTAGAAGGATACGTGTGTGTATGTGTGTGTGTGCATGCACACGTGCGCGTGTGTGATATGTGTCTTAGAAGACTGACCTATAAAAGGGAAAGAAATAATCAAAATAGGAAGATAATCTGAAGAAGTGATAAGAGATTAGATTCCAAGCATAGCTAGAGAATGGCAGGAGGAGAATGACTTTTATCATTACCAAGAGAGAATGTAGGAAGTTAGGTTAACAGGTTTATAGATTTGAATTTCTGTTTGGTGGTGGATATTTA